GTGGTCGTTGCTTTTGAATGGAAAGATCGTGCTTATAGTTATGGATGGTTGGGTAAATAAATTATATAACTGTGTGGAATAGGAATGTTTTATATTTGTTTTTATTTTTTTTTGGCTATAATTTATTTATTTTTTTTTTGGTTTTTGCTGACGATTTATATCTAGCATTTTTCTGTCATTTCTATTATATTATATATATTATATTATATTACATTATGAAAAAAAAATCCTAAAAATATAAATTATACATCAAATGAAAGCTTATTCTATAAGCTTTCTTTGTTTTTAGAAACATTTGTCTGTATAATTTACAGAAAGTTCCCAAAAATCCACCAGAACAATGTATACTCAAAAAATGCAAAAAACCTAGTTACACTGCAAAAGAATCAGGTATTCAAGGGTTTGCACTACAAAAGAATCCGGTATCCAGAGGGTTAAGTTAATAACATATTTAATAATTTTAATGTTTTACACTAAATAGACTTTGTGAGGTTTTTCCAAAATTTATGATAGAACACTATATGTCTTTAAGGTGATTGAGAAAATGCTAAATATGTTCAAAAGCACAAACTTGTCACAACAAACTGGTGGCCAGTAATCCCCTGTGATGTTCGCTGTGTCGGTTGTGCAGCGATGATCGTCTGATGTGTTACCGTCTGTTGTTCTTGTGAAGGAGTGATTTGCATATCAGAAACAAAAGCTGTCTGCGTAGCCATCATTCGTCAAAACTTCTGTCAAAATATGGAAATTAAATATTAATAATTCACATCGTATCAGCTTGGAGACTTGAGCAAAATTACCCCAAAGGACGGAGTCGAGTTTCACAGCTTTATTGGCTGACATGCTTGCCTTACAATCCCAGGATCTTGGATTTAATTCCTGCAACAGTAGGACTTTATCTTATGATTAAAAAGCAAAATCTAATCACCAAGCATTATTCCATCCTGTAAACAGGTGTGGAGCCAAGATTTTCCCAAAAGGAGTCTGATGTGAATATAAGTGGGTGTGGTGCCTGTATGGACCATGTATTAACAATACATTTTATTTCTTTTCTCCCCGAAGAATTTTTTTTCTCCTCTACTGCCATCGCCACCTCCCACCCGCACACGCCACCCCATCTTCTGCTGGCACCAACCCTGTTCTGTTCGTGGGTTATCCTTGCTGTTCTGATCATCTCTATTTTCAATACATCCATTAAACAAAGTAAAGAGATTAAATGGCTAACATAATACAGAAATGCGCTTTCATATTTTAATATACATTTCTATTTAAAATTGGTTTTGATATTATTTGCAGAAAAATCTGTGGAGGCAATGAACTGTACAGCAACAACCATTTGTTAGTAGTTGCTAAGTAACAAAGTGATGTCACATGGTACCGTGATGTAGACATGTCTCAACTAAACCATCCCTAATTCGTTTTTCTAAATTACTTCAGTTTATATTGATTTATTTTTTCCATATGCACTGTAGAAAAATATATATATTTTTTTACAGAAATTTAACAATGGTATTTGCCAAATAATTATTTACAGTTTAATCAACGTACCATAGGTACAATATCATTTTTTGGTAGTTTATGGGATTATAATATATGCTTGGAAATAACAGACTGCAGTGGATAGAAAAATTTATGAGAAATTGTATTGGTATGTCATTACCGCAGAACAAACAAGTTCAAAATTTATTATCACCATTGAAACAACAAAGATCTCATTTAAAGCTAAATATCTTCCTTATTGGTAATATTTGTTGCTTAGCAATGAAATAAATGAATATATGATTTATAAGTTGCTACGTTCAACTCCTTCACTACTACAGTGACAATGCTTAAAGGCAAATAGTGGTTGCCAGGAAACAAAACACATCGATTGATCACTGGCTAGTAAGGCGCGTGTTAATACCATAATGCAATTCTTTTGTTAAATGAATGTGACGGCTATTAGAGTTAGAATAGCGGACAATGAGACTCAAGGTAATCTTTAAACCCTAAAGTGGAAAGAATGAACAATATTGACTTTATCATTAAATGAATAGGCTTTTATGTATTCCTTGGGAGGGGAGCGGAGGGGAAATGTGGGGTTTATTGCTAATTAAAGGTTAGAATATAAACATTTAGTTTAAGCCAGTGATTAGACATAATTTCATTCATTGTCATCCAATGTTATTCTGTAATCATTGCTTTCAATTAAGCACCACAGTATCATAGTTGTTAAAGGATTATTTATTTATCTATAATTATTTATCAACTGTTTTTCATCTTTGTGAACATAAAATTTGATGTCAGCAATCTGCAATAATCGATTTACCATAATGCTGAATCTGAAATTGTCAGAGAATGGCATTTTTGCAGACCTACATACTATATTTGCTTGCTAACAGCAATGCATAGGGCGTACATATTGTACTGTCTTTCACATACAGTAGTCTTTACAGACTGAAGGCAAGCCAGCCCCAACAAAAGTAAGTGATCACATAGGCCTAGAATTTAAATTCTGAAGTCTGCTAAAATCAAAATTAGTGTATTAAGTATTATATCTATTTCAAACATTGTTTATTATCTCAAAACAACCAAATAGCGGGCATGTTTTTAGTTGCCCAATCACAACTCATACAGAAGATTTAAAATAGGACTTTGTCCCAGCATACAGTAAAACTTGCATACAGCACAGTTTTAGCAATATAGAGATGTCCTTTGCATAATAAAGATGTTGGAAACATTTTCCCATACTAGAGAAAATGTTCATCAACAGAAAATTAATACTTAATTAGTATAGCCCAGGTCAGATGTGAATGGTTGACCCCTTGGGACATACCACTGTTTGCCACCACTATTGATAAACTCCAGAGCTTTGTTTTATAACTTGGTGTAACTGTAGGGCACTGCGAGTTTAATTATTAGGTGAGACCTTTTATTCCTTGTTTTGCGAACTTAAATTTTTGAAGATCATCAGAGCAGGGTGGGAAAAAAATAAAAAAATGTTTTCTTATTTAGCAAATAGTTTTGCCAAAAACATTCTCGATGGAGGAGAAAGTAAAAATAAAATTTTATTGGTGAATGTATTACAATGTGGTAATTTGGATGGTAAATGCTTAAAATTTATATAATAAGATATCATTTTTTGTAGATTTCAAGACAGCAGTGGCGGTAATAAAAAATAAGGAAAAACTTTTTCCATTTTTGGTGACAGCGGGTGCATTAATTGGCCAAATTTGTTTATTTTCTTTTTTTTTTGTTATTCAAAATCATCATTATTGGATCGAGGAGGAGGGGTTTGCTAAACAAGGTATTAAAAAAAGTCTTGCCTTTAACTACAGTATTAACATAATGACTCTGAGACACGATTAATTGGACATTAAACTGTTGATTTTTTATATTAAAATGCAAAATGTGTTTTTGTAATTTTAAGCCATTTTTTTTACTCTCATTTTATTCATTTAATAAATACTGGTCTGTGCGACAATTTAACCATTGAATTTGGTAAAAACCGAAAGGTCCACTGATTAATCTCAGATAAGAAAGTATAATACATACTCCAAGTATTGAAATACACGCCATCGTGTTGGGATTCAATATTTCGACATTAATTATGTCATCATCAGGAATGATTCCTGATGATGACATAATTAATGTCGAAATATTGAATCCCAACACGATGGCGTGTATTTCAATACTTGAATTTGGTAAGTCATGTTGAATAAAGAAAGGCTGAAAACAATAATGGGTGTGGTACAGCACAGTTAACAATGAGCTGGGGGGGGGAACAATGCAAACAAAAGCAATACAGTAGACCTGAAAATGTCTGCTTCTACATTTATTTAGATATCTTTTTTGTTAATAGCCAGTAAAGTAAAGAATTGGGGTAATTGCAATTTTTTTTTTTTTACTTGGTGATGGAAAATAAAATATTTATTACACAAACACTAGGCTTATGTATGGGCTAAAGAAATAAGGTGTAAAAATGGGCAGTTACACCCCTTTTTCCCCCAGTTTTTAAATATTTAAAAATCTGTATCTCATTCACCGTTCCCCAGTTTTTCTGTCTTAGAAAAATCAGTTCTACAACATATTAAAAAATTTTTTTCCTCCGGAGCCTGACTTTAAAACTGAAATTTTTTGAATTTTAAAACACAAGTTCACAATATCATTCATACCGTAAATAAATAATTTTTTACACTAAAATCACATTTGAATCATACTTCCTTGTTTTGTTATTCCTCCATTTACCAACCCACCTTTGTGACCTGTAAGATATGTAAACATCACTTTGCTATGCTCTATCGATCATCATTGAAACTGAAAACATTGTTTTTATAATTGTAAAGAATTAGGTGCTTAATAAATTTCTACAAGCCAGTGAATTTAATGTTGACATGATTATCTTTCCATTTGAAAACTAATTCCTTTTTAAGTGCTGAATTAATTGACACACTCTCAGATTGTTTACTCAGAATACAAAGCAAAATATAAAATATACAATGCAAAATGTAATATAGTTACCAGTAAATGCTAACAGAATAAAGTGCAAGGCATTGGAATAAAAGTCAGATTACATTCAATACTAAAATTAACTTGTTTGTGTACTGGCCGAGGTTTATTTTAAATATAGCTAGTAAATATGATTAGCTAGAGGCTTATTGCTAATGGTCTATAAAAACAATGATTGAAATGCATACAAATTCTTCAAACAAAATATATATATATTTTTTTGATCTGGCACATAATTATAGTAATTTGAAGGATGCAGTACTTTAAACAGGCCGCAACAAACATGTATTGTTGGTACTCAGTACCACTGTCAAACATGCGACCATGGAGCTTGTTAGTGATATGTACCTCAATGGTGAATAAGTCAAATAAAAAAAATCATTGTGTTGGCCAGGCTCGACTGACCCAAAATGTACGAAATTGAGATTCGGCATTTTATTTACTTATTTTTTTTAATACAACGAAAAATATTTTGTTTAATGAGCTACAAAAAGGCTTGAATACTGTAAGACTATCTTGCGGCAGGTGATGTGGCATTGTTATGCGATTGTCTTGCTTTAAATAGATTTTAAAATGGTCTTTTGTTTTTCTGTGAATTTCTACCTTATAGGCAAAAACACATAAACTTTTCCTACCAACCTACCCATTTTTGGGACTTTCTGCATGCGGCCTGACAGAATTCTTTGTGGCCCACGAAAATGAATTAAAATCCCTATGTGTGTGGCTGCCAAACACTTTTGGCTAGAAAACACCTTAATTTTTACGACCCGACACCGATTATCTGTAAATATCTTATTAAAAATACTGAGTGTAAAACAGTATAAAAGCAATGTATAAAGGTTTTTGGAAGCTAACGGAAAACATCAAAGTTTGGATGCGGCCTTCGGTGTTATATTAAAAATTCACTTGGGCCCTCCAACCCATTTTTATGCCCACCTCTGCTGTAAAATATTCCCTACTGTACATTAATGTAATATGATTTGATCAATTTTTAAGTATGGTCACCTTCATTAATATTAAAGTCAAGATGAATATTTCCAGCACTAAGCCTGACTTCTTACTCATTCATATAGTAATCAACCTGCCTCCAGTGAAAAAAAAAAAAAAGAAAAAGAACATTATTGTCTGCCTTTGTGATCGTATTGGTATCAAGGAGAGAGCAATACATTTTTTAATTATTTATAAAAAGAGATGCAAGTTGACTACAGTATAAATGATGGGAAATAAAATTCATTGATCGAGT